TGCTTAATCTTCTGCTAAAGAAGATACAAGCACCTACCTCTAGAAAGGGACTCAAGTTGGAGAAACTTATCCTGGGTAAATATTTAGCCCTGAAAAAAGCAGAGTTTAAGGCTTGCTCCTTAGAAGCTCCTGCTTAAAGGCTGAGGGGTGAATATGCTGACTGTGGATGGCTCCATGTTCAGGCATGCCTGAGTAACAGTAGTCATATTTGCAGAGGATTTTTCTGTAGCTGAAGGGGATTTTATTTGCCTTTACTCACCAGTATCTATGACTTTCTGTGGTGTTGCTTTTATGAAGCATAAATGGCAAGTGTAAGTTGCTGTGAAGAATTTCTTTAGAAAAAGTAGGAACTAAGCATGTATTTGTCTGATAAATAACAGTTCCCTTGGTTTTGAACAACATTGTCCTGTGCCTACAAAAAGCTTCCTGAGTACAAAAAAACATTTGTCAGAAGAAATATAAACACGCTCTTCTGACTCAACACTCAACAGACGACTTGATATACCAATGCGTTTACAACTTTGCACTTTAAACCTCAATGCCACTTGCCACTATTTATTTCTGCAGTTCCCAGTTCTAATCTCAGAGATGAGGTAGTAGCCAAGTGGCAGAAGTATAATGACTGTTTTGCTTTAAGACTTTTTTTTATGTGTTGGCAACGTGTAGGAAAGAACAGATGAACTCTGCAGCTGCAAAGAGGTTGAATAATGTCCTCCATGTGATAGAACTTTCATGTTTTCCTTTTGTCTGCAGTGATAAAGTAGCCACCCTCAATTTTCCCACTCTCCCTCTGATGTAGAGAACAAACTACCTGATAGGGTAGAGAGAGGAACTGGAAGGTGATGGAAGGTGGAACTTGAAGAAAGTTAGATACATCTTCCCTTTTCCTATCCCCTTAGAAAGGCAGTTTGGTACATTCTCAGTGCCCCATGATGTGAGGAATGCTACATCAGCTATGCTCTTTTTCCATTATCAGATAGTTGCACCCAGCTGGGATGTTTCTGCTCCATCCTTTGAATCAGCTGGGACTGGTTCAAAGGATGGGGCCATGTATGAGTGGCCAGTGAATGAGTCTGATGTCAGGACAATTTTTCCTGCAAAAAGACTCTGCACTATTCATGCATAAAAGCCTTCTGCCATCGCAAAGGCATTGTGTTTTCTCACTGTAGCCCAGGGTCTTTAAGGGGTGATGGTAAAAGAATAGGGATGAGGAAGGGCCCTCTCCAAGGAAAAGCAACTAACCTAAATGTGGCCAAGACCTGCAACACAAACAAAATATGTGCTCACCAATCTTCTGTTGTTTGTTTTTGTTTTGTTCTTTTTTTTTCCCCCAGTGATGTTAACAAAATTAATGAGGCTATTGCTGACCAAGTAGCAATTTTTATCCAGCGCATAACCACCTTTGTGTGTGGATTCCTACTGGGATTTGTCAGTGGCTGGAAATTGACCTTGGTTATCATTGCAGTCAGCCCTCTGCTTGGGGCTGGAGCAGCTGTCTATGGCTT